TACTGTCCTCTCTGGGCTCTGTCAGTGATGATTCATGTGATACAGGTGTGTGTGTCTTGTGACGCAGCAGGTCATAACCAAGGCCTTCTAATGCAACAGTTTTGAGCAATAGGGTGCAAGATTAACAGAACGGATATGGTAGTAGTGATCAATTGATGTATGTGAAAATCCTTAAATATGTCACAGTAAGCAGATTACATCTAATCCACTTAGGGTTTCAGATTATTAACCTAATATAATATACTGTATGGTCACAACAGGAGACAATGCGACAAGGTCACACATCATATCAGTCAGTTTAGAAAACATAAACTCTTTTGTTAAGTTGTGTGTATTAACCTGACACTTGTTCTCCTGTTTAATGTGAGTTTTGTGAAGACAGGAAATGAACAACTAACCTGAGGCACCTGAAGAGGTGAACAAGAACATCTGCACTGACTTATATTAATTACCATACCCTGACCTCACCCTAATCCTAAACCAAGTCATCACTCTAAAATGGAATGATTTATATTTTGGGGACTTGCTTTTTGTCTCTATAATAACACAGAGTTCCCAGCATAAATAATACAAGGCCAGACACACACACACACACACACACACACACACACACACACACACACACACACACACACACCTGTACAATATTAGGATCACACTAAAAATAGCGACTTGAACCAGATCTTAACATTAATGAGAACACTGTTTATTATTTAGATGGCATAGTCACTTCTATTTGACACTTGACCACATAACTTGAACCCTCCCTTTCCCCTCACTTGCAGTTTGATTGTAATCACATGTAAATGATTTAAGTGGCCAGAAATAGGCCGATTTGACAGAGAACATGAAGGGAATGTTCTAATCTCACTTTTTACTAGCCCCGGAAACTGCTAATCTCTCAGAAATATCTACTGCTCCTGGACACTGTGTCTTTGTGCTACACATTACCAAAAATTAGCCATGGCTAATTAGCAGCAACAAGAGTCAGTGTGTACATTACAGCAATGAGGCATATGGCTTGTGGGTGTTACACACATTATGAAATCTCACATTTTTATAAGCAGCCATTAATCATAAATTACTACTGTAGCTGTACTAACAGATCACTTGTTGCCAGAAACTGAAGTTATTCTCCATATCATGTTGCAAATGCCTTTGTGTGCATTGGTAAAATTCACACAAAGGCTTTCTTTTCATTTGTCTATTTTAACACAAGAAATAGCAACACATGCCATGTTATCCCTGAACCACGTAGAGCATGGTGTAAAAAGACATTTCATTTTCCTAAAATTATGAACAACTTGTAATTTACTAACCCAGTGGCAAAAATCTAAAATTATTGCAGAGTTTGCACTCTTAATTCCAGGCCTTTCAAAAAATATGCCATGTGCATAAAGCCACAAACAGTGTTCCACATATGTATGAAGGTGTCTGCACACTGACAAAGCAAAGAGGCTCTTTTATGTCATGTGTGATGAGTGATAAAGTAAAAAAATATCACTTTTAAAAAAGGACAACCGTCAGCATAGCTTATAGACCCAGTCATTCTACAGCTATAAATAGACACTCAGGTTATCAGCAAAGACTAATCAGGGCAAAAGAAGCCAAGAACATAAGGTGTTTCACTCATTAGCCACTAAGGTTTGACCACACAACCTGAGTAAATAGCATCAGTAAAGCTGTTGATTCACTATGAACTCGTGTAATTAATATAGAAATATACATACACATTTACAATAAATATAAAAAAAATTAAATCTATTTATTTATTTACATTTTTTTCAAATTTGCTGAGCTACCCCACGAGCATTCCATGTACTCTGGCAACTGCAGACTTACAGTACCTCCTGGCTAAGAATTGCCCCAAGTTGGTAGTCAGCGTGCTCACTCAGCAGTGAACTATGCAACAGCACAGTGAATGAACTGGAATAACATCCAGTGCAGAGTAGTATGTGATAGGGATATTATGGGAAAAGTCAAGGAGACATTGTACAGCAAGTGTTTATTGTCCTGGGCAGCTGATGCCAGCAAAATGTTCTGGTCAAAGTTTGTTGTGGTCATTCAGAAGAGCGAGAGAGAGAGAGAGAGAGAGAGAGCGAGGCAATGAGATCAGAGAACTAAGCCATAGTGAAGGGAGCTAAAGTGCCAGATGTGGGGTGAAAAGACTATTACAGGAGAGAGAGGTCAGCAAAAGGAAGGGATGAACTTTGACCAAATGACTACCAAACCCAGCTCCTGTAATGTGGCAGTATCACAAAATAACACTGTCAAACACAACCAAGAATTCTGGATAGTGTAAGCTCTTCTAAGACACCGTCATTAGGGAGAAGATGGTCTAAATGATCTTTTCTATGTTACTATAAAGCACCTCATAGAGGAGTTGACATATACTGTAGGTCAAGTGTTGCTAGATGTGCAGTACATGTGGGCGAAAGAGCAAAATGTTTACATTGAGGAGGGGTCTGCAGTATGGAACTTAGCATATATTTAATGGGGATATTATGTATATTATACATTTAAAACAAAGTCAACCAAATTTGTATTATAGTGGTCATCTTTATACTCAAAAATAAACAATCCACACTAAAAATGCCGTGGATAGGATGACTGTAGACTGCCTAGTGTAATGCCTCTGTGCCGATGACAGCCGTGGCTGGGGGCATTTTGTATTAAGGCTCTCTGTCTGTCCCGTTCTCGTGAATGCAATATCTCTGGAACGCCTTGTGGCTATTTCTTCAAATGTGGCACAAACATCCACTTGCACGCTCTGTATCAGTCCTCTATATTGCTCTGACAAAAGAGCCACGACAGAAAGAAAATTATTCACTTGAAACATACAATGATAACTCCCATTTTGCCAGAAAAATACACTTAATAACTTTTATTAAATTCCATCAAAGTCTTCACTACACATATTATATGAGTCTGGACCATCGACTGTAAAAACGATGGACAGGCTAAAAGCTCCCAGAAGTGAAGCCACCAAAACTTGATCGCCCCCTGGTGTATGGAGATAAAACACTAGTGTTTTATCTCCATACTGGTGGCTGGTTAGTGGATGGGACATGAACCAAAATAAAACTCTAGATACAAATCAATTACTTTTCCCCCCCAAAGGTCACTTCTGTGGTTTTTGGTAGATATTATCACGCTGATGTGTGAACAAGTAATCATTTTTCTGGTACGTTTGTTTTTAATAAGTTATTTGATAATACAAAAAGAGGTAATTTCAGTTGATTTGCCAGCTTTGATTGGTGGTGTGATGCTGTCACTCCACTTCTTGTCACTACTGTGCAGAATCTGGTTGCAAAAAAGCAAGCTGGCAGCTGCCATATTCATGATATTTTGTCTATATATATAAAAGTCCCCCACTCACCCCCCATTTTTGGGGTGGTCTTGTATTCCTTCCTTCAAGCTCGGGTCCTCTACCAGAGGCCTGGGAGCTTGAGGGTCCTGTGCAGTATCTTAGCTGTTCCTAGGACTGCACTCTTCTGGACAAAGATCTCAGATGTTGTTCCTGGGATCTGTTGGAGCCACTCTCCCAGTTTGGGGGTCACAGTCCCCAATGTTCCTATTACCACAGGGACCACTTGT